ACCTAATGACACACTCCACTGAGTCGGCGGGGGAATTCCCTGAAATCAGGGAGGTGAAAGGCGTTATGAAGGAGTGATGAAGTAATGGGGCGGATTCAGGGAGCGGAGTGAGGGGCGGAGTCGGGGGCGAGGTCGGGGGGAGGGTAGGGGGGAATGAGAGGTGAGGTACGTCGAAGAGGATTAGGCGGAAGAAAGAAAAAAACCGCATGAAAATACCTTTCCAACAAGTTTTTCAATCCGTCCATCTAGTTGTGTTGGGGCGAGCTGGTCCTCCTACTGGCGATCGCGGCGATCGCCGCTGCTGTCGCGAACTATGAACGCTGCCAAATTGCCCTTCCTAATACAAGTGAAACGCAATTTTCTGATGCGGATAACATTTTAGGTGCTGCAAAATAAGAACCGAAGATGATGACGAGGGCCAGAACTCAAGAGCAACTGTGCTGCTTCTGCAACATCCCTCAGAGGCCGCGCATTCCCAAGAACATGACAATACAAACGACCTACTTCGGTTCTCATTTTGCAGCACCTAAAATGTTATCCGCATCAGGAAATTGCGTTTTACTTGTATTCCAGAGCGCAATTACAGGACTTGGCAAAAAGCCAAGAGAGCTGCGCGCGACACGCGCCGCGCGGACGGCTGTTAGCATAAAGGGAGTCTGCGCCGCAAGTTGCATTTTGGGCGGAGCATGGACGAATTAGACTTTCCCACGGCCCTACTCTAACCCCGTGCAGTTTTGGGGCGGGGGGACCACGACACATCGACAGCTGGGGGGCTGATAGTCTCATACACCCTCAATGTGTGTGAGCGTACCATGTGTCTTTAAGGATGGCACACAGTTTTGACCTAAAAGCGGGAGTTGATATGGTAGGACTTATTAAGTGCCCGGCAGCAGTTTGAAGCCACACGTTACGCTTCAGGGAAGACGCTGGTGCTGGCGACCTTCCCACGTCGCTTCATTAAGACTGAGGCTTTCGGAATCGATAAGGCTGCGTTTATACTTTGAGGGGCAGCGTAGCGTAGCGCTTCCAGCGTACGCCAGCGGCACGCTAGCGTACGCTGGTGACGCTGGGAACGCTAGATCGATATCTATCCTTTCCCCGACACTGCCGCTGGCGTACGCTGGAAGCGCTACGCTACGCTGCCGCAAAGTATAAACGCAGCCTAAGGGCTCTTTAGGAGCGCCATGTATCCGCTTCATTTCGGACCCGCAGTGGCTTGGTTAGATCGTGCAAATACAAGCTTTTATCCCAATTCCATATGTACATGTGCACCATTTTGACCAATCAAGGAGCAAAATTAATGGATTTAAGTCCAGTAAACCTAATTTGCCAGAGAAAACTTGCAACCGTCGATCTAACTACATTTCAAAATCCATTCCACTTAACATTTATTTGATTTTTTTACTCTAATTATTTTGTTAGTTCTGTTAGTTTTTGCCAATTCGTCCAATCTCTATACTCTTTGAAGTCCCTCAGCCCTCTATACCTTGACAATAATCGAAATGGGACCGATCCTTGCGTATGCCCTTATTCTCGGACCCTACAATTTCTACTCGTGCTCTTTCTCCGCGGGTGTGATTTTTCTTTGAGTTGGACAGCACTGACCCGTCAAGCACTCGTTCAGTGCTACTGCCAGTGCCAAGTCATTTGTCAGAAGTTAAATCGCTTGTCCTCACTGCGAAACCAGCAGACCCCCATGATATAGTTGTTGTTTTTTGATGGAATCTAAGGGGTTTGAAAGTGGCAGGGAACTAACAACTGGAGGAAACGGGGAGATTCGCAGTCCCTTAGGAGTCGGCAAGAACTGCCCGAATCGCACGATTTATTGCATTTAAACCAGATAATATCGTCTTGACGCAGGCAGGCAACACGTTACATCACACCACACAAGCCGTGCAAAACATCGTGATTCTTGATTTGATTAGCGGAAAAACG